GTACCCACTGTATATATATATATATATATATATATATAATAGTTTATAAATAAATAATAAAATAAAAAAATATAATTTATTTTCTAGACATTAAGTACACTCATTGTCTCTTAATTAATGTAATAACTAACATTGTTTGCATACAGTATATTAATGTATAATGAAAGTATCACTACATGTATATATCTCACAATGAAACTCACGGTTCTTTTCTACAAACACTTTTCCCATCGGATGACTGTGACCCAGAGGGGCTGAGAACAGAGAGCGCTGAGATATGGGTGCGTGCACATCGGTGATGATGTCCTCCTCCTCCACACCGAGCTCATTATGAGGCTGGTTTTCTATCATCTTAGCCTTCCTTCAAAAAGAAGTGGACCTTATTCTCAGCAGAAAAAGTCATATAATCACAACTGCTATGAAACTAAACTACTGCATTTAGATGTATTCACTTTCTTTTCTATTCAACGTTTTTGCCTCTCACCTTTTTCTCTTGCTTTTTTTGGTGACTTCCTCATCATCTGTATGGGGCTCTTGAACATCTCCATTTGAAAGGTCTTGTTGTTCACTCTCATCTTTTAACACAATTAAATAAAAAACAATTCATCTAAAAAGACGAAAATAACATACATAAATGAAATGTGAATAAATTACTGTATTTACCCAAAGTATGTGCCTTCTTTTTCTTCTTCTTCTTCTGTGGTGGATTGTCCGGAGGCTCAGGGGTCAGCGGCTCTCTGTGGCTCTCCAGACCCTCCATTTCTATAGCTGGCTCGGGTCCTGCTGTTGTTTATTGGAAAGAAAAGGACTAACTACAAAATATGTGCTGCAAACACTAAACCTGGGTATTTGAACTATTCTAATTGCTACCTGCAGAGGTAGCTGTTACACCAATGGACTACACTTAAATTGCTTTCATAAGAATGTATTTGCCCAGCAGCAAGCACATAAAAATGTACAGTATATGACAGTAGCCCTATCACTCGAGTTTTATATAGTCTGGATAAAAATGCGAACTTGTTAAGATCAAATAAAGAATTTATAAGTATCATTACCTTGAGGTTCCTCAACTTCACTAATCTCCTTCTTGGTTTTCTTTTTCTTCGGTTTGACACTTGGCATTTTGTCTGTGTAAAGGGGCAGAAACAGGACACTCAGCTTTGTCTACAGTTTACACTTGTCCTTTATAGTAATTAGATTAGAAATCCAAGTACAATAGAAATTATTACAGGCTTTGGGGTTACTAAAGCTAAGCCAAATAATATAACTGATTAATTTAAATTTAATTAATTTATAACTTCCTGTTCACATGTTCAGATGTTCAACACGGATAACTGACCACTGGTGTCTTGATGTCGCACACCCGAAAATCAGGACTGAATGGAAACAAAGAAAATGAGACTCATTTCACTTCTTCCAATTGAAGTCAATATATAGAGTGTTTGTGTGAGCATACAGTGAGCATGCAGCTTTAAATTAGCCTCATGCTGGATATAGCACTTTACTGAGAGAAGATTATGAGGCCAGTTAGGTAAACAACACTGACTGAACTGCTTCTTTCTGCTTGACTTAAGTGCTCACTTTTAACTACTTCGCAAGTCAATGACAGTAAGCAAACTCACAATCAAAAACGTAAATATTGTAAATAGAAATTAATCATTAAGAAATTAATAATACATAAAATGTTGAAAAAATAACAAATATTGTCTGTCAGACAGACAGACAGACAGACACACACAGACAGACAGACAGACAGACAGATAGATAGATAGATAGATAGATAGATAGATAGACAGATAGATAGATAGACAGATAGATATAATTACAGTAAGTCACCAAAACATGTTGAAGTATGATATCCAGACCAAGCAAGTTTAAGAGGTGATTTAAATCAATTGTGATCACAGTCCAGTGCAATATCTGGTTATACCACATTATAAACAGGTCACATGGTCACACAGTATGTATGCAAACACATGACACTGGATACACAACACAAAAGCCCAGTTGATAAATAACGTCTCTAGGTTACGTATGTAACC